TTTGGTGCCATTTAATCGAGCCTAAGCGCTTATGATGTATAAACACATCACACTATAACACTATATACCAACTTGGTTTACAGGTTTAAACTTTAATATTAATTTAGGTATCGTTAATTGAAAACTTTAAACTCACTTTAGTAGTTGTATTAACAGGTGCAGTTGATCCGGATAGCAAGTCCGACAATAATTGGGATGGTAAAAAATCATCTCCTGTTCCGTATCGTTTAAGCTCTGAGTCYTTTTCTTCTTGATTACTTTCATAAGGATTTGATAAGAAATTTCCAAAATTGTCGCTTCCATCGAACAATGAAAGCAATGCAGATTCGTTTGTTTCTTCTATCTGGTCGCAAGTTGCTTCTATGCCCAATTCTGTGTACGAGCTAAACCAACATTCAAAAAAATAGTTTAGTGTTATTGCCCACATAAACCTAATATCATATTTATACGTGTTTTATTGTTTTATGAAACAACAATGTTTCGATTAAATTATACGAAAAAATGTATACCTTGAATCATTACTGTTATCGTCTGTCTTGGACGTAGATTGCACAGAGTCGGTTCGCAAYTCTTTAATCATTTTGAAATCATAATGTTGATACTCTATGGTTGGAATAAAATCATATTGTAAATTATATTTATACCAAGTGTAGTAGGTATTATATTACAAGAACACAGTAACTGTTATTTAAGTTAATTCATGTTGAAAATAACATTAAAATGAGTATTAAAATTAAAAAATAGGTAGATATAGGTACGGGCCCCAAACTACTTTATAACCTAACCTGASCGTAAATTGTTTTCTATTGAGGTGCGAATTTAATAATAGCTTTATGATGATATAATATACTTTTAATCACTTTMAAAATACGTAAGGACTAACACTTATTAATTTATAACTTGTCCCCTATATATATATCTATATGAGATTAAAACAGGACATGGTATAGTTATTGATATTTTATTTGGCATGTAGGACAAAATATAAATGTAAATATGCAAATAAAAAGTACGATAAGGTAAGCCCTCGTATGCTTACGTTTGAAATCTTTAGTTGCGTGTTCAAACGATGCTGCGACGGTTTCAGCAAATCGCTGCAAACTTTGTTGATAGAAAATAAGGACGTGTGAAAACATATTGCAACGCGCAGCRGCGAGCAGGTCGACTTTTTGCAAACAAATCAATTTGTGGTGATCAAACTGCTGCTTAGACTTCTTTACTTTGGTCTGTACGTTTTTGAATTTGTCTAACTGTGAATTGGTGTCTGGATCCAATTCTTGGGAAACGTCTTTCATCCAATTTAGAGCAGCCCTGTAGTCTGTACGAGCATTTTCCATACGTTTTACATCACCCTGTGTGTCCTCCACAGCTCTTAAACAAAACGTTTCTATTTCCTGTATAACACATTGATATCAAATCATAAATAATAATTATAATATTTTATTTACTTGTTCAATCATCGATGCAGAAAGAAGGGTAAGGACTATATCAGCTCGACAGCTCATTACTGAGTAATAATTATGCAATTTTTGAAAAATCATTAATCCGTCTTCTATATAATAAGTAAATACAACACAAGTCACATTTACTACCAGCAGGGATGGGCAAATTACCAAAAAAAAAAAGTAATTTATTACAAATTACAAATTACTCATAATACCAGTAATTAATTACAAATTACTAATTACATGATTGTAGAACATTTAATTATAAATTACAAATTACATAATTGAATTACTTACAATTACCAATTACATTTAAAAATGTTATTACAATTGTATTATTATATGAAAAAAAGTGTATAAATTAAATCAAAAAAACAAAAAAACATTGAAAAAATATAATAAAATATAATATAAATTAGATAACCCCGTAATTTTGGTTATCTTTTCATTCATCAGCGTTTATTTTAGTAATTTTTTAATTATTAATAAATAAGGAAAAGTAAAATAATTATAAATTTTTAAGTTGTTATTAGTGATGGACGAAAACGAGATGGTTACTAAAGCCATCTAGACACTAAGTGTACAATTTGTACATCGTTCAGTACAATTGTCAATTTATACATAGAACAAGGACAATAAGATAGTATAAATGTATAATATTATATCTGTCTATATTATCTGTATTTTGTAGTAATGTTCATCATAAAATTATCTTTTAGTATCGGTAYCGAATGTTTGATAAAACTTATATATATTATAATATATTGTACATTGTAGGAAATCTTAAATTCTAAATTTTTATCATTGAAAAATTGTAATTCTTTATACCAATTACAAATTAYATCAACATTTAATAATTAATTACCAATTACAAATTACATCAATATTTAATRATTAATTACAAATTACAAATTACTGTAATTGAAAAGTGCCCAACCCTGACTACCAGAACTTAATCTTTGTATTAGATTGGTATTTCAGACTTAGAATAAAACACAAACTTGTTTTATAAATAGATCCATAAAATAGTTAAATATAGTTTTTAATTTTCAATTTATATGGTTAAATAATATTTTGTCATAATATATTTATGACTGWTAAAAACGTTCGAATATTAGAAAATTTCAAAAATGTTGATTAGTTATTTTTGTTATTTATATCATAATTTCCTTGTGACTTTGGATGTATTAAATAATTGTTTTAATTTTCAACTTTTAAAGTTATATATGAAATAAGAAAATGTGCCTATAATTCACGTGTTACTTTAATATTTTGGTTAATTAAAACTTATTTAATATTTTTTCCTTGTTAGATACTTTCTGTATTGGTAAATAAATAATAATCAACTGTTCGTTTTT